AAAAGCACAATGGGTATCTCCTCTCTGTTATATTGGATAAATTCTTATGGCGTATATTTGGGAAAATGCTGACTCCATTTGTAATTGTTATGAAGAAGATAACATGAAATTAAAATATTTAATTTAGACAAAGAATTTGGCAAGGCCGCCTTGCTGATTAAAACGAAGCCTCAAGGGACTCAGTATAATGATTTCATCCGATAGCGGTTGAGGATTGAAGATTCATTTAGAGCAGAGGTCCCCAAACTTTTTTGTGTCGTAGACCCCTTGCCATGTTTTTCCGTGTTGGGTAGACCCCCTACTTACCTGATATTGATTTCCTGTAAATTTCTAACTGTAGTGAAGTTTAGTGTTAAAAACTTGAAGTAAAAACACATGTTAATTTATACATTTATTAATTGAATTTAAATTAAAACTACTCAAAATAAAATTTTGTATCTGTTATGTAAAATATATGTAACATTAAATAAACAGGTGTCTGACCACTAAGTGCCCGCTTTGGGAATAAGTGCCCGCATTGAAAAAAATAAGAGGGATAAAAAAAAGTGAAAAATAATACAAAAAAAGTTTTTTACTTAAAATAGTACAATAAGCGAGTTCGTTTATTAATTATTATAACATAAACGTATGTTCTACAATAATTTCACTGTTAGTTTGACTATATTCCGCTTCTTATACGTTTAAGTTATCTAAAAATAGGCAAAAAATTAACGAATTTTAGTGTGTACCTATCCTTGAATTTTCAGAATAATTTAAAAAAAAATATTTTCTATAAAGGGGGGTTCTTTAAAAAAATCAATGCGGGTACTTATTCCCAATGCGGGCATTTATTGGTCAGACACCAATAAACATACAATAAACTATAAATAAAATAACATAAGCAATAAGTCAATATTTTTAGTGAGAAGGATGAACCTGATGCTTTAATAATAAATTATCAACATTTGGCGTCAATTTTGTAAGGGTTAATCTTAAATCTCCTCGGCTAATGATGTCCAGTCTGTTTCTTTTCTTCGTTAGGAGATTGGTAACAGCGCTGAACCCCCTTTCCACTAGGTATGACGATGGAAAGGAAATTAAAAATTTCCTCGCTATATTCCATAATACGGGATAAGTAACGGGTATGTTCTTTTGCAGCCAGAATTGATGATATCCGTTTTTAAACTAAACCTTGAGTTCTTCGTTTGTACTTAGTTCAGTCAGTTCGTCTTGTATTATGACATTCGTTTCTTCTATGTCACCATATGGATTAATTATCCACTGTGGTATTACCATAGTCAAAATATCCTCAAACCTAGATTCAAAATCTGAATAGAGGGCATTTAAATGTTGAACGTAAGTTGAAACGTCCTCTTCCTGGCAGCTTGTCTGTGACAAATTGGGGAACTGAGAAAATTCGCCCCGTCCAATATTTTGCTTCATTAGTTTAACTCTGGCAAGAAACGCTGATAAGATGGACTTTGTTTTAATCAAATTTAAACTGTCGCATTGTAATTGCAAATTATCCATATTAAATTTTGTAAACAAATCTGTTAAATAGTCGATGTCTGTTTTCCTCTTCATTAAATTTTCTTTTAAAATTTTATCTTTAGTATCCAGAAATTCTAAAATAGTCTCAAAAAGTGCAAAAAATCTTGTCAAACATAAGCCTTTCGACAGCCAGCGTACTTTAGTGTGAAGGAGAAATTGATGAAAGTGTTCGTCATTTTCTTCACACAACTGCGCAAATAACCGCGTATTCAACGCGTTGCTTCGGATCGGTTTACTGCATCAATGACTGAATGAAGTGATGAACACTCAAATTTTTAGCAACTAAATGTTGTCGATGGATGACACAATGTATTGCTAACACCCCTGACACATTTTGTTTTAAATAGCTTATAAATCCACGATAACATCCAACCATGGCCGGTGCTCCATCTGTGGCTACTGATATTATATTTGATAAAGGAATTGCTTTTTCAATGAAGTAATCCTTCAAAACATGAAATATTGATTCACCTTTAGTGTCGGTTATCAAAGTTCTTGCGAAGAGCAGTTCTTCGTAGATTTCTTGATTCATAATAAAACGAACATATGCCAATAATAATGCTGCATTATCAGGTAAAGTTGACTCGTCCAGTTGAATAGAGAAATGGGTCGTTTGCAAATAATTACATAAGAAGCTTTCAATATCAGAACTCATTTCATCAATACGTCTTTCAACAGTATTGCTGCTTAAGGGAATTCTTTTAATGATATCAGATGCAGGTTTGTGTAAAACAGCTTTTAAAACTTCTTCAACGGCTGGCAAAATTAACTTCTCTCCGATAGTATGCGGTTTTCCGGATTTTGCTATAAGTAACGAGATATTGTAAGACGCCCGCAAACCATCATCATTTCTTTGTGACATCGAAGCGAAAATTCTGTCCAGTGTAGGTCTCTTCTGAAATTTATCTTTGAGTGTTTGAAACTATTTCAAATCTTTCTCTGTTTTACCAGGGTGGCATCTTATCAGATGATCTTGCAGTTTAGATGGTTTCATAGCGTCATTGCCCAAAACTTTGTTGCATGAAAGGCACATAGGCGATTGTTTGTCCGGCAATGATGGAATGAAGCTAAATTTCAAATAATCCACACAGTACTGTCTACATTTCTTTTTAGATTCGGACATGGCATGAGTCATCTGTGGGCACAATTAAATTATTTAAATAAGACAGAAAATCCAGCAGCTGTATATTAAAAATGTTTTTTGATTTTTCCGAAAACATTCCATAATTCGAACATCTTCTTGCAACAATTAGCTCGAATTACGGAGATTGCACTGTAATTATATTACCGATTGCTAAAACTTTCAAAAAGAAACTATTGAGGAGTACTCGTGTAATTTTGCATGATTGAATATTTAACTACTAATAACTAAAGTCATGATTGGCGTAATTTATCTATCTTTGCTAACTACGAGTACAAAACTAAAATTTAATAAAAAATAATGTACTTACTTCACGTACTCCAGCACTCTCAAACAAAATAACACTGACTCACTATAATTTGTGTGATATACTATCTGTTTATATTTTTTAAAATATTTTCTTAGCACTTTCCTTTTCAAGATTCAGGAAACGAATAAACGTCTTTGTCCCACATTCGTATTTATAGAGTGACGAATTGAACAAGTTAGTGCAAGGTAGCGAAGCTCTGAGACTGCGACTCTCAGGTTTTTACAAGTTCAAAATGTACAAAGCGAATACCAACATCCTACAACTTACACAATTTTATGAACATATATAATACATTTTTTACTTCATAGGTACTTTTATAAATAATGTATATGTTTTGATATTATAAGATAGTATGATGTAAGTAAATAGGTACTATCAGTGTATGTGTTGAGATCCACTATCGTGGACCCCCATATTCATTTCATGGACCTCCAAATTTTTTTTCGCTGACGTAGACTCCTTGCAGGTTGTCATAGACCCCTAGGGGTCGATATAGATCACTTTGGGAATCAATATAATATATATAATATAATATAATAATAATATTTATTCACTCAATGTACATACAAAGATAACAAACAATATGAGTAAATAAATATAAAATCAAAACAGGCCCAATAGAAGGCATCGCCTGTACATGGACCAATAATTTAAGTTGAAACTGTAGAATTCAAATGACAAAAAAGGACAAAAATTAGCTACAGTAGATTATGTATTTAGTTGATGTTCGTATTTATGAGTTTCAGTCCTAGATATAGAATGTAGCCACTTTTTTAAATTTCTTTTGAAACAATTTCCGAAACGTAAATCTTTTAAGTCTTTAGGTATAATTTCATAAAATTTAGGTGCTCAATAGAGATATGATCGCTGCATTATAGATTTATGCGGTTGAGGAACTACTGTGCCACGAATTTTGTACCTGGTATAATGATTATGTTTAATTTTTTGGTCGGTGTTTACAAATTTATGGTAGTGAGTGATACTGTGTAAGAAATAAAGCTGTCTTATATCATACATTCGAACATCTGCGTATAATTTGTCAGTAGGATAAAGTTTCGGTTTTTTGAATATCATTTTTTGAATACTTTTTTGAAAAACATCTAAATTATAGATATGTGAGGAACATGCAGCTCCCCATGCTAATATACCATATGTGAGATGAGGCTCAATCAGTGCATGATATAATGTTCGAAGATATTTTTCTGTCAATATATTCCCAAGGTATTTAATTTTGTAGGATACAAATCTAACTTTCTTTAAAATATAATTGACATGGATGTCCCATCGTAAGTGAGGATCCAAGACCACTCTAAGGTATTTTATGTTGGGCACTCTATTAATTTGCATTTTTTGATCATTAATATTGAAGGAGAAATTTGTGTAATTTGGCAGATGTCTAGCATAAGATCCAAATGGTAAAAAATGTGTTTTAGAGTAGTTAATGCTTAATTTTCTACTGTTAAACCACCGAATAATTTTGATAAAATCATTTTCAATTACATTTTTCAGATCAGACCAGTCAGTGCCTTCATATAATATTGCAGTATCATCTGCAAAACTAGTTATTTTGCCAACACAATTAATTTGGAAAATATCATTTAAATATATATTGAATAACAGCGGACCTAAGACAGTTCCTTGTGGGACACCACACTTAATATACATTTCTTTACTAAATGATCCTGATATCTGCACAGATTGTGGGCGATTTGACAAATAAGTTTCGATCAGTGAGTACGCGTTTCCTCTGAAACCAATTCTCTCCAATGCTTCTAATAATAATTTGTGATTAACTGTGTCGAAAGCTTTCTTTAAATCAACAAAAATGCAGATTGAAGGGATTCTGTTATCAATATTTTGATGTATTTGATTTACAATTTTAGTTATTGCGTCCGATGTAGCCTTCCCTTCTGTAAATCCATATTGATTTTCACTTAAAATTTAGAGCATAAATTCTACAAGCAATGGGAGTCCGAAGCAATATCCTTGATACCGGTGATTTTGTTCATTCCAGAAAAAATGACCTCTGATGGGACTTCAACTAAGTACCTGTATCACTTCGAAATTGTCGACTATGTCGTATTTGCCTCCATGTTGGTGCTATCAGCCCTTACAGGGTTATATTTTGGATGTAGGAGTAAATATTGCAAAAGCAAGGAAGACCAAACACTTAGCGAATACTTGACAGGCAATAGAAATCTTAAACCATTTCCGGTAGCATTAAGCTTGATAGCCAGGTAAGAAAAACTCTATTCTTGTTGTTTGCTTTTGCAAGCATTTGGATTTTCTTCGCCTCGCTTCTGAGGATCTATCATTCTTTTGGCACAAAAAAGGCGTATTATTATTACATACTGCGCACAGGCATTATGTGATAGATTTACCTTAAATGTTTTTCTTATGTTTCAGTTACGTCTCCGGAGTAACAATTTTGGGTACGCCGTCCGAGGTATACAACTTTGGAACTCAATACTGGTTCATAGTAATTGCCATTTGGATAAGTGGGCTTGTTGTTTCTGTAGTTTACCTTCCAGTATTTTTAAAACTCCAAGTGAGCTCTTCTTATGAGGTATGGCCATTTCAATCACTGACAGGTATAGAGCAACCTCTGAAAAAAGTGTTTGGTGTAAAACAAATATGGTTTGACGATTTGAAGGAAGGTCTTGGTAAGAATGGGTAAACGGGTCCAAAATATTCCTTGTACGGACAAATATTCGTTTGCCTATACAGTCGAATAAAAAACCAAGTAGTTGTAAACATACAAATAACTTGAACTTGCCGTTGGTATATTTCTATGACTTTTTTTGAGGTTGCATTACATTTTGTTATTGTTGATTCTTCGGATAAAACACTTTTGGTATTTTTCAGTACCTGGAGTTGAGATTTAATAGAGTAGTAAGAACGATAGCATCAGTATTTTTTGTTTTGGATGAGGTAAGGAGATTGCACCCTCACTTTTGTTATTTCCTAATCTATTTTATAATTTTCAGGTGATGTTTTTGCCAATTGTTATTTATGTTCCTTCCTTAGCATTTAATCAAGGTAAATATAACTTCAACGTAATTTTAGTTCTAAAGATAAGTTATGATCATCATCGAGACGAGTTTATATTTCGCAATATTCAAAATTTACCCCTATACCTATTGAATTATTGACACGGCGTTTGTTTTTTTTTCAGTTACTGGGATTGATATCCATCTAATTGGCACGATCGTGGCTGTAGTTTGTGTTTTCTATACCTTTTTGGTAAGTGGCACCGTTATTAAAAAACATTATCAATCATTCTTTCTTCAATACAACTGGAATGGGTGTTCTCACAATTGTCGCTTAGTTGCATAAAGTCAAGTGATTTTTTACTTTTCATGTGAAGCGTACTTTTTGATAGTATAATTTGAAACTACCCGCTCAGAAAAGACCATTACATATCGTGAAGCTGTTGCTTACTAACAAGTAATTTTGTATCTAATTCAGTATGTTGAATGCAAATTGTTCCTAAATCGGAGAGATGATAATCAGGAAGGCAAAAGTCCAACAACCAAAATCCCGTTGGTAGTAATTATATAGTAAAGTACAATACTATTTTACATAGTATAACGCACAGTCCTGAGCACGATTAAATTCGTTCGATTTATGACTTATGAATTAAAGAATTATCATATTAGTTCAATTAAGTGATGACACAATGGTAATTCGGAAAACATGTCTAATTCTAATGACGACTCGAACTGCCTTATAAACTAAAGTAGAGCATTCACAGTGTAGTGTTGAGTGTTCTCCCTTTTCTGCAAGACTATCCAGATATTGATTACTAGTAACTTTTTCTTTAAATCTTATTTTTTCATAGCATGCACACTCTTACAGTATTTTACTTAATACAGCTCTTGTGTGTATTTAAAATTGAAACACGTTCGAAATGTTGGGACCTTATTTCGAATCAACCCTCGTTGAAAATCGCACTTTAAGCATCATAATCATTATCTCTTAAAATGAAGTCTAGATTTACTGCACTCGGACAGCAAGAATGTTATTTATAGAGAAAGCCTTTTTGAAAATGTTGACTTGCACTTTGCAGGGAGGATTGAAAGCCGTTGTGTGGACAGACTCTTGGCAAGTTATTGCTATGTTCATATCAGTCATAGTCGTTGTAATACTAGGCACAGTCAGCATAGGAGGTCCAAGTGTTATAATACATTTGACAAGCAAAGGCGGACGCTTTCAGTTTTTCAAGTAAGTTTAGGATCGAACCCTGAATATGCCTTTTAAAGCGTAAACTCAATAAAAGTTTTAAGTAATTTAATAATATTATAAGAATAATGAATTTATAGATGTTTCGTTAAATACACTACCAATAAGAATCTTGTTTCAGTTTTAGCCCTAGCCTATATGAGAGATATTCCGTATTCAGTGTTGTTATAGGAGGTTTTACCTATTGGACATGTTTCAACTCCGTGAATCAAACTATGGTACAAAGATATCTCTCATTGCCAACTCCGAGACAATCAAAAATGTAAGTTTTAGGATTTTTAGTAGAACATTAGATCATGTTGAGGATGTGCCTGTTTCAATCTTATAGAATTACGAAATTCAGTTTAGCTTTAAAATATAGCAATTTTTTCAGTTGCATTTGAAAAAATTTGAGCTAAATGTTTTCATATTTTGCGTCTAATCAATAGTAGTTTTACAGCTTTACTTTTTATTTTCATTTGTTTAAATATATTGACATAAAAATAACCAATTTGTTTGTAGGGCTTTACTACTGTTCACAATAGGCGTATCAGTATTTGTATGGGTCTGTTGCTATACGGGAATTTTGGTATATGCCAGTTATTATGGATGTGATCCTTCAGCTATGGGCCGTATAAAGGCTGACGATCAAATTTTGCCTCTCTTTGTTATGGAGACAGTTGGGCATTTGAGAGGTGTCCCTGGTTTGTTCATTGCTGGTGTTTTTGGGGCTGCCTTAAGGTAGGAATTTGAGAACTAAAAACAGGCGCCATGTACAGCTTTCTGAAACTAACTTATTACGTAACCACACCGATTCCACTTTGATATCGTACATTTGCCGGTATCGCTTAGGAATCATTGACATCCATGACTTTGTGTTTCCATATCACGATTATACTTTCCACGCCAACTGACGTGGAAGTATTACTGTAAACGTTTCTGAAATGCGATATTATGGAGTCTGTCGGTTTGTCTGTAAGATAATATTTGGTCCCTCCATACTTTATGAAGTACCGCAGGGATTTTCATGAAATTTTAACACAAACTTGCTACTATTTCAAGTACAAGCTCTACAGGCTTTGAAAATCGATGCAACGGCGGCGGAGCTACGGGTGTTGGAGGTGGTAGGGAATGGCAAACGTTGCATCTTTGGTACCAGATTATTAAGAAGTTCACAATTCGCATAATATTACGCACCTATTAAACATAATCACCCTTCGTAAATTGGGTGGATCATGGAAGGCCATGCTCCTTGACAGGCCAATTAGTATAAAGTCGTAGTTGTTGTATACTGTACTATGTGACGAAAAATCGCTCGGTTTTTTTGACATCGGTCGTCGACATTGAAATTATAGTCCTAGGTCACAGCCAAATTTAAGTTTTCAAGTTTAAATTGTTTTTGAATCAAAATTATATATTATCGATAGATTACTTTGAAAACATTTTCACGAATGCATTCTTAGCTATTCGGTAGCGTTCAAACAATTTATATTTAATATAAAATAAATGTTACATTTTAATAAAAGGCCTTTATATGTATGATTTATAAGCAGATAGTTTGCTCACAACGTTAGTTTAAGCTGAAACGACTGATTTATTATATTGGCTTTGTATCGAGTCGTGTTACTTGCGAGTCCGTTCGGAAAAGTTTAATACAATTTGAACTGAATATTCACTCTGCATTAAACAAAAATATTTTATAAGTTAAATAATAGGACAAATTCTAACTTAATAGTTAGTTAATAGTTTATTTGTTTCATTTATTCCGTAAATAATGGAATAAGTGGATATTCCTAGTCAAGTTGATTTCATTTGAACCTTTTGACCTTGAACCATTTTTTTATACATGTGGTTGGTTAGTTTCCATTCTAAGAGCGACATATTTGTTTCATTTTCGTTTTAGCAGCAGAGTACTATCGGATGATAGTCACAAAGTAGACTGACTCTAGCACTCAGACGCAGTTGATTTGGTCGATTTTTCTATTTATAGTTCATATGACGTTTAGTGTGAAATGACATAAACTAATGGCAGAATTGCGTGAGAAATACAAATTGAATCCACTTGACATAGTTTTACAAGCTTTTATTTTCGCTATTATTATTGCAGAACATTTCTTACAAAATGAGGGCTCATTTAAACCTAAATTCGATCAGAAATGAAATTGCTAGTACCTTGGTCATGATTAGGTACTAAATACTTTGCTAGCCCCAACTTTGAATGTTTGTAGACAATTCTCAGTTATTACTAATTACTTGATCGATTTTTCAGCTCTCTCTCTGTCATACTCAACTCAACCGCACAAGTGTTCCTTGAAGATTTCGTGTATGGCTGCTTGCGAATACAGCTCAACGAAAGGACTGGAAAGATTCTGGTCAAAACTGTTGTTCTAGTACTTGGGTCAGTAGCTGTGGCATTTCTATACGTTGTGGAACACTTGGGAGGGGTTCTGCCGGTAAGTAGTCCTAAAATGCTGTCTTGAAGAAGTATACGGATGTTCAGGTATAAAATATTTGTAGATATCTGCGGAGCACACCTTCAACACGAGTTAACTCTTACAATTCTAATTTTACTTTAGACCTTCAGCAGATACTTAAGTTGTCGCTGCGTTCATAACGGCTGGGGTTACAGATCCTTGGTTGAGATTTATGACCGGCTTCGGGACATGGGTAAAAAATACTCGACATGTTCACTTGGTGCTAACCTTAACATGCTAGATGTTTGAGGATATACCATGACATTATCCATATTTAAATCAAGTGTTTTAGTAGTTTAGGCCCGTATCGTCAGTCGTGGCCTCCTTGATTGTCATAGTTTTTTACTTCTCCGTGTCAGCGCTCTATTTTGAGGTTATGTCACAAACATCTATTTGCATCAAATTGTGCTTGCTTTTGAGTTATATCATGTTTTATCAGCCTCAAATTTCCTACAATTTAAAATAGGAGAGCGCTGACGCTGACACGGGACAAGTGTAATCTAGAAATTTTTTAAGGAGAGAAAGGAGTATGACAATCAAGGAGGCCATAAACGCGCCCTACAATTGTAGCGACGACTGACGATACGGGCCTTAGATACAGCATCAGTGACAGCATCAAATTCCTAAAATTACTTTTCAAGTGAAATTATATTTGTTGACTTTATCATTCGGAAATAGCTCCACTTGACAGATAGCTCTTTTGCAAACGAAGAAATACTAAAACTTGCAGGTTATCAATAATGCATTGTTTCTCATCATAAACTTCTCATTATTCGACACGGGTTTATCCGTTCATAGCAATATAACTACCCAACCCAACTTCGACCTTACTTAACCTACTTTAACCCACCTCTACTCTGAGTCAAATACTATGAACTACCTGCCCCTATCAAATGTTGGCCTACTCGTATCTGCATCGAAAATCATATTTAACGGGGTTCCTACAATAACGAGAACCATCTGCTGAGGTAACGGGGGGGTGAAAAGGAAACGAGGATGGGCTAGCTCTAGACGGTCGTCGGCGCTACTTTAAAAGAGGAAAGGATGACTGCGGGTGCATACCATGATAAATTTTTATAATAAAAGAGTCGGATTTCGATTTGCGATCTAGAATGTAAATCGTTTCTTATTTTGGTACTCAGCAAGCGATCATTTAGTATTTTTCTCCCCTTGTTACTGTTCGTCTATTTTGTGTTATTGAATGGTTGTGCTGTACTCTTGTTGGTGTGATTGTTCTTGAGTGCCTTTTTTAATCAAGGCTGATAATGGACAATAAAGGGCCATATGCGACCATTTTAATTACGAATGCAGTGAGTTTAATTCATGATGAGGTCAACCATAGCGTGGAGCAGTTCAATTCCATAATCGCAAAATACATTGGAATAAGCGAATAAATTATTGCAAGAAGAGGTCATACCATAGAAGATGTGCGCAGCTGTAGTGAGCCACAATACCCAACGGCCTGTCTATGTGGTCTAAATACTTTTGCGTTCTAGGCTTAGTCCAACCTCGCTTATCGTTAAGATTTAACAAAGACTCAAACGCAATAATCTTGAAAATAAACTCAGACCAAAAAAAGCTGATATAAAAATAACTAACAATTCGGATATCAATTCCAAAGAAAATGAATAGTCTTATGGCGAATTCAATCAAAAACCTGACATTAACTGTATTGTTTTGCTAAGCGAAAATTTTTGGGGAAACTTAAAAAAAGTGACGACGAGATTTTGCAGATCGAACAAGCCACCAAATCACAGGACTCTACTTTGTCGCGCCTTTACCGGAGGATAAGGTTGACAGCGTCTCGATTTGCTGAAGTTTGTAGAAGAACGCAGACAACAAGTTGTAAAGTTCTAGTAAACTCCATCTTATACCCAACAGAGTTGTTTAGTAAGACAATAAAAAAGGCAATACAAAAATAATTGGACACCGCAGTTCAATCTTGTGGTTTGTTTATTGATCGCACACATCTATTTATGGCAGCATCGCCTCCATCTACCTATTACAGTAGACAAGAAATGTACTTAATCCAGGTATACGCCTACCTGTTTAGTGCTTTGCAAAAACTACCTAACTGTTTCCTCTTATTTTAACGGCATAAGATATGTTTATGACCCTCGTTCAATTGTTACCATGTACCACATGATCCTTGTAAACATAATTGTTTATTGACATGAAGGCAGCAGCGTTGGCCGCAGTAGTAGACTCTTCGGTCTCCTGATCAGTCGCCGTGCGCTGTGCGGGTTCGAGTCCCGTACCAGGAGAAATTTTTCTCTTGGCTATGGATGTTGTGATTGTCCGTAGGTGGTAGATGGTCTCTGACTGTCGAACGCGGAGGTACCACCCGGCGGTTCTCGTAGGCGGAGCCAGAATGTGTGCATGTTGCATGCACACGTGTTCCCTCGCCAGAGTCCATGTGGCATCCTCCCCCTTTCCCATGTATCCCCCTATAGCCCCACGGTACCCAATGGGTGCTTAGGCCTTAGGCCTTCGTGGTAGTTGGAGTATAAAAAAAAATAAACGAATTTGTATTTGAGTTCTTGAATTTATTTTAGGAAAGATATCAAATTATTTGAATACATTTTTTCTTAGTTGGAACGCACCGTCGCGTCTTTTGGACTGGCAGGACGAAACAGTAGACTAATTTCGCCGATTTGCACCTCATAGCTTACGTTTCATTTTTGATTATTTCCAAATGAAACTCTTGCAGCGTGCTAAAAACAAAGTCCGCAGGGTGCTAACGATCCACTTTTTCGATTTTATATACTAGGATCTTTTTAAAATATCAAGAAGTTGATCACAAATAGTAAGCATTTCAACCCACCATAATTCTTGCGCAAAAAATTTGTTGTAAAATCTCTGATAGGACCTTAGTTAGGCAATTATGTCCTGCTTATATCCAAAAAAACATTACAAACTGCAGAAGGCAAATTGAAGGTAACGGCGAAATTTGTACATTTCACGGGTCATGAAATTCAAATGAAGATGCAGGTATGAAATCTACCAAGTTATCGTTCTCAAAAACATATTTCCTTGACATATCGATAATTTTAAAGTTAGACGCTAAATTCCCCTATACATGACTGGAATGATATTCGAATTCATTCTTCCCTACCGTCGGCAGTTGCAGATAGATCTGTTGGCTCTTGGTGTTAAACCTATAGAGCAGGTACAAATTTTTTCAAATCGTGAGCACATTATTCGTCGGATTTTCGTTTTTTAAATTTCCTGTAATCTTTGGGATCAGAAGCTTCTTAATAATAAAACGTGTTTCATTGATATCAAAGATGCAACATTTAGAATCACCTTCCCCAAACCCCCACTTTTTAAGCAGTACAATTTTTTTCCGTCAATGATAAGGAACCCCTGTAATGTCAAAAATGTTTCAGTTTCAGCAGTTGTTACTTTTTCTTTTTTGCCTATAGCACCGTTGCCACTGGACTAAAACTATAAAGGTTTGGCATACTAGTGACCCCATGTGGAAATTTCAGAAACATCCAAGCTGTAATTTCCAAGTTGATGATGAGTAATATAGTTTTTCGTGATGTAGAGGACATATGACTTAAAAAAACATAACATCTCATTTTAGAAATTTTTCGCGATTACAATTCTTTCTCGCCACTGGCGTGGAAAGTAAAACGGCTTTGAAATCGGGGAGTATCAGCGATGAGTACCTATTTGCAGAACGACTTATCTATGCGATATTATATAAACTAGGGCCACCAAATTATCTGAATACGTCCTTTTTTAGTCCGTACATTGCGCCGCAACGTTTGAGTTGGCAGCACGAAACAGTAGACAAAATTCATCCAAAATACGATTTGTAGAGGTTTGCGCGCTTCGAAATTGACACTTTATTTTTTGATATTTTTGAATGAAATTTTCATAAAACTCGTGCAAAAACAAAATTTCTGAAAGTGCTCCTATAGCACCCTCGGCAATTATCTTCTGAACATACTACATGAATTTCAATCAAAAATATCGAAAAATGGAGTGTCAGTTTCGAAGCAGCTGAACCCTTGTAAATGGCTTGAAACTCACTGCGTCGGAGCCGCCTTAAGACTAACACATGACATAACATTTCTAGCGGAAAAAAATATAATACCACCGTTTTTGTCAAATTTTTTGCTTTATTAATAGGGGTAAAGTCTCATTTTTTTTTACATAGGTCTATCTAAAGAAGATGTACAGGTGGTATCCGGCAACCTAAAAAACGTACTTACCAAAATAGATCCTGACGTCCACATATCGCCAAATACATGTATGTATAGAGATATCTATGCTGTTAGGTAAACCCAAAATGTCATTTCAGTTGGCCTCAGCACTTTCAAGTATAGCGGCGGGTACAACATGCGGTGTGTTCACATTAGGAATGCTGGTACCGTGGTCAAACTCAAAAGGTGCCGTCGTAGGCGCAATAAGTGGTGCAGTCATGTCAGGAATAGTATCTTTTGGACAACAGTACGTAGCAGCTGCAAAGTTGGTCGTACCGCACAAACTGTCCGTCATAGCTGAGGACTGGTGCTACGACAAGTATGGAATGGAGGCTTCCAGAAATCAGACTGTTATTCCGGTAAGTATTTAAGTTCGCATTTAAGTTTTCATTAGATACTTTGAAATATGAGACCGTGCCATAATAGAACGTTAAATAGCGTCAAAGCTACACATATTCCGGCAATGGTCATAATGAGGTATATTTAAAAAATCATTTTGATGAAATATCAGTATCTTGTCTCTAAAAAGTATATTCAGTGTTTTCACTTTATTCATAAACAAAAGGTAGCAAAAGTTAGCCTTACAAAGAAACGTAAAATTTCGCGCTTAAGCTTCTACCGTGACATAAAGACTTATTGTACGCGTTGTCAGTATGTGGACCTGCATCTGTCAAAGAAAAGAGGTAAGGCTACCGTCAGATGGGAGGAAAATAATCTGAGAAATCGCCATTGGTTATGTCTTCCAAATCTGCACGGGTATTACGTATCTTAGTGTCAATTTTTTTTTGACATTGAATTGTTTTACTGTTACTCTATGTAGGATGTTAACTTAGCACTAGCTGATGGAAACTTGTGAACTCGTTTTGTAGTTGTATGTGTTGCCTAAACGTCATCAGGCTTAGTTATCAATGTTTGGCTCTGATGTGATGTAAAATCTGCTTCAGAGATGGCATTTCTGGAGGTCTAAGCTGTAGGTTGTAAGGTCTGTCGGGGTAACTGGGCCACGATTACAACGTCTAATGCTTGAAGTCAATGATTAATAGCCTAAAAACATACTATTTAATTTAACAATAATTTGTAATTTTTATGGTATGTCTATACTACTTTCTACTTAACGAAAACCTATATTAGCAGCAGATACTATTTTTATTACTTTAGAAAAAAAATATTATACAACAACAACATGTGGATCCAGTTACCCCAGCTGAAGGGGTAACTGGACCCACATATATTCATCAGCGTTCCTTTGACGTTAAAGCTAACTGGGGTATTTGGGCCTAATTCTACACAAACATATAACTTGGAAAAAAATTTATTCCAGCTTCTATAACAAAAACTCTTACTGTCAGAAGCAAATGTAAAGGATCGATGTAAAAATACCCCAAATAAAAAACACTTTAATTCTAAATATTTTATTGTGTTTTATAAAACCAACAAGGAACAACAATCAAGGGATATGATAAAATACTTTAAAAAATCAAAACATGGTTACGTCAGAGAGATCAGTATTGAAACTTATCATGTCTTTAAATCGGGCTGAGCTACTTTTAACAGGTTGTGATAACTTGCGAACAAGATCTTGATTAGCTGTCAAGGATCCTTCACCCGTCTCAAAAAATTTCATGGTTTAACCGAGTCGTTTAAAAAACTTTAACGTCGAGCTTGGAATATATAGATACCCCATTATGATAAAAAATTTGGGGCAACTGGGCCACCCCTTTCACAAAGCAATACTTGGAATTGAGGACGTTTTTAAGCACAAAAATTAAATCGAATAATGCCTAAATATACATCAAAACACAAAATAGGTCAAATAATACTTACGTTGTATTAATTTTTGTGACTAATAACAATGCAAGGCGCACGATGTTCACGGACTAAAACTCGCTGAACTATCACGTTACGAATAACACTCAAATATGGCGGCCAGCTGTGTTTGGGAGTTGCTTAACATTAATCAAATTCAAGCGGATATTAAATGAAAATGGTATTTACCATTTCGGAATGGCATTTACCGATCCGTTCAAGCGAGTGTGGTTATCAGTTTGGTTATAAGATCCGTGACGTCATGAATCAGCTGTTATATGTCATAGTTATCACCGCAAAATTATGGTATTTACCCAACTCAGGAGTAGTTTTATATTTCTGGTTATTATTTTACATGTGACAAGTTAGAATTTTGCCGGGTATTGGATATTTTTATTATACTTCAGCTTCATTTTTGGGAAACTTCATACAGACTGACTTCAGTTTTAGCATAAGAGAGCACTCTATTATTTATAATCATTACTGTTGTTGGGGACACTTTAAATCTAGTTCCTACGCTTAACAAAGTACAATGTATAGCCATATACCACAAGAATATTAATATAAACTCACTGGATGATGTCCACCTGTATACGCTTTTGTTAATATCTTTTCGTCATCGCTTTTTCATCATTTCTCCTAAATTAATAAATATTTTCTTTAACATGCGGGAAAGTTTAGAAAATTGAAAGTTATCATAGCTACACACAGCCATGGCTCCATCAGTCATAATTTTTTTCTGAAAAAAAAAAAATCCTCCCATTAATATTATGAAAGTTTTCTTTTTTCAACTTTCCATACCCCGTTGTAGACGAAAAAGCACCCCGATTATTAAGTGGTAATAAAAATAATCAGAAATTATAACGCGGTACATAATACGGAAATTTTGGTTATTCGCTTGGATTTGATTATTGTCAGCACTGTCGGCTACGAACGTCAACTGTCAAAACTAAAACAATTTGAACGATATGGCGGGAAAGATACCGTGGCCCAGTTACCCGTCGGGTCCAGTTGCCCCGACAGACCTTACAGTATAGGAAACGGCAATGCATATGTGCATAGAGGGGATTTGTGTGCTAATAATATGTGTTGATGATAATTCCATATTGGATTCTTGTCTCAAATACACTTACTTGAGATTTAAAGCTAGAAATTAGTTGCACATCTACTCTTTCTTAACCATTCTAGAAATTACATAGGTATGCAAATTTGCTGAATTTAAAAAATGACAGAGATAAACAATAATTATATTCACTGTACACTGTCGAATTACAAGTCATATCCATGCTAACAGTAATTACACACAACGCGGGCGCGGTGGTGATTTCCCGTAATTCTCAAAGTTATTGAAAACAAAAAAAAACGTAAAAAATCGTAATTTAGAACTTTGAACATAACCTGTCTTCAGAAAGTTCAACGAATAAGTAACCCGTCGGACACAGCTAATAAGTATACATACTGCATTGGCAGCATATTCAGTAAGATTTTCTCACACAGCAAATATCACTGATTTTATAGACATGCACACCAATACACATGGATGATTATCCAGATGCGACCTTGCTATTCAACCAACTTTCTTCTCAGAGATGAAAATTACAGACTACTCGGCTTCACAAAACATTATGCAACAACAATGCGTGTAGTTGAGTCATTCCTCCATAGAGGAACGCTCACAAAAATCCTAGTGAGCACAGGTGGAATGACTGTTTGCACCCTAAAAACTACCTAATCTGCAAGATGACATTTTATAGGTTTTTTTACGTTTTGTAGGTTTTCTACTAAAACCCGTGCCGGCAAGCCAGATACCAGACAATGTTCAAAAAATTAATTATGAAACGACGTTAGCCCCTCTGAGAGAAAAGTTAGGTAGAGATAGCTAGAGAGATGTGACTACATGATAGTGTTCGATGCTACGTACGCCAACACATCCATTCGTTCCCCACTCGTTTCCAAATACTTCAACTTTTCAAGTAACACAAGACTTTGAACCTGTCAAAATAATGGGATAAGTAAATACAACCAACAGTTATAAAATAGACTCTGCATAGTAAACAAAAAGTATGACTAATGTTCAAAAATGGATAAAATAATGACAATTCTTTGCCCAGCAAACCAGTTCTACGTATATGCACACATTCATTATTCACTGTTTTTTTGTTATCAATATTTACCCAGGGAAACAAATAAAACTTCTTCTTAGAGGAGTTGCGGTAAATAATGGTGATTTCTCAGGTTAGTAGGGGAAAAACGTACTATTTCAGTTAGCTGTAAAAAAAGCTTAGCACATGACAGATTTGGCGCAAAATATAATTTATGAACTTTTGCCACATCTCGTTCTTTCAAAAGTCACTCAGATTATACGCAAAATATTGACATTATGTGAATGTAATGTTATTCAGAAAATATCGCATTGTCGCCATTTTGCGATATTATCAGGGTATTTTTCTGAAAAAAACAAATGCCATAGGACATATATACGTACATAATACTTTTTGATTTCAGGAGGACTACCCGGATGAATCACACATATTTCCCCTCTTCCGTCTTTCCTTCCTGTGGATCACTCCAGTAGGTGTCTTAACAGTGTTAATAGTAGGCTCGTTGGTCAGCCTGCTCACGGGAAGAAGGAATCTGAAAACCCTGGATCCCGACCTGATTTCGCCGGTGGCTCAATGGATGCTACCTGCAGAAGCTCAACAATACGCGGGGTCGACTAGTAAGAAATTTGCAAGAGCCAGAGAGGCGATGGAGAATGAGAGAATGATGACTATTTCGTCTATAAGTAACTGATCTGCAATAAATATTTTGTTAAATAATTATTGTGTTATTATTTCGGGTAAACTTCATTAAGTCTATAGGAGGCAAAGATGCAGAATACTTTGGAAAACGCCATGTTCACCGATGAATTGGGAACTTTTTCTTTGGTTGCTCACAGAAACAACGTTTGCGTCAACTTCATGAAAGCCTAGCTATGTATGTAAATTGATTTTAAGTCTGTACCTCAGAGCCATACTACTCCATTTTGCCTAAAATAAGTTTTATGTGTTAAGTTCGTGATAATATCTTGAGTGTTGATTCGCTACGTACAGCGTCCACCTACCTGTAAAAATAAGAAAGTTACGACTTCATAAATTACATTACAATACAATAGAAGATAAATATTCCAATTGCAATTATTCCAAAACTACTTATTTGGAATTAACCTAGTATGGCTTTGAGGTCCAGATTCTACCATATCTTTGAAAAATGTGTTTTATGTCATAACATTTCAAAGCATATTGTATTTGTTTGGTTTTGTTTCGATTGTTTCCAGATACCGTATTATCAGGAACACGTACCAATAAGTACATTGTGGAAAATGCTATCAGTGACAGGCTATGGCTGAGTTACCAGATAATAAAGATGAATCTGGCAGCTTGATTAAATTGTATAAATAATGATACTATTCTCTGCAATAATAAATATATTGAAATATATATTATATTGAAACTGCTGTACAATAAATTTCCACTCATCTAAGTTACTAATGTGGATCTTGGTGAATCTACCTTTATTATACACAAATTAACACATGACATGCAGCATATATGCAATCACAAAAGTAATTTCTATTTGCGGAAATTTATGACACAGTTTCTATACATACAAGTTTTTGAGTAAATTGCTGTTAATACTGATGTTCCCGATACTTAACCTGTGATTATCTGCTAATTTTGTTTCATTCAAGTGGCCAATAAATAATGCCAATGAATTGATGGGAAAAAACGTTTACTAACGTTTCGGATATCTTGATACTCTTTTTTAATCCATTAATAAAATATAGAAGGAATATGTTCTGGAAGAAAATGTTCCAGAAGAAATCCCTTTTATACTTTATATTCAAATTTATTCATATTTTGTATTTTGAAGAAGACTACAGAGGTAGCCGAATCGTTCGTTAGATTTTCTATCATCAGTTCTGTGGTCTTATTTATTGCCCAGTTGAACGGAATGGAATAAATGGCTGATGTAACAACTACGTCAATTCTTGAATATAAATGTTACGTAATTTCTGAATAAATATGAAATAGCGAAACTGTCACTGATATGTAAATATTATATTCTGGTAGAAGTAAAGTAACTGTATTTACATAAGTACATGCATAGCGAGGTAAGGCTGTTCTGGACATTTTCACCAGTTTTCAAGTTCATCCTTACCTTATTAGAATTTACTGTTTACTTGATTTTTACATAGTTAATAACAAAGAAATATAAAATTTATCTAACATTTATACATCTATTTAGTGGGTGGTTTGTAGGACATCATCAACATAACCTGCAGCAGTCATATTACCTTGAACAAAGAGAAGATCGGCTACTGTATGCCATAGCCCCTCAAACCAACACTCCTATCTACATGCCTCTCAACAGCAAATCCAATATCACGCCGTTCTCCACGACGGCGTCTCACCCTTCTATGACCATCGTGCATATCTAGACAGAATCGCGATTCTTCTTCTTCTCTAAACCATTGGTCAGCGATCTGACGTGTAGTAGCAAAACGGAGTCTTAGTCCCGTGTCGTCAGTCGTCCCTACAATTTTAGGGCGCGTTTATGGCCTCCTTGATTGTCATACTCCTTTCCCTCCTTCAAAAATTTCTAGATTACACTTGTCCCGTGTCAGCGTCAGTGCTCTCCTATTGTGAAGATATGTTTTCTTTTTAAATTGTAGGAAATTTCAGGCTGATGAAACATAATATAACTCAAAAGTAATCACAATTTGGTGCAAATATATGTTTGTGAGATAACCTCAAAATAGAGCGCTGACAGGGAGAAGTAGAAAACTATGACAATCAAGGAGCCCATAAAGGCGCCCTACAATTGTAGGGCGCGTTTATGGCCTCCTTGATTGTCATACTGCTTTCTCTCCTTCAAAAACTTGTCCCGTGCCAGCGTCAGCGCTCTCCTATTGTGAAGATATGTTTCCTTTTAAAATTGTAGGAACTTTCAGGCTAATAAAACATGATATAACTCAAAAGCAAGCACAATTAGATGCAAATAGATGTTTGTGACATAACCTCAAAATAGACCGCTGACACGGAGAAGTAGAAAACTATGACAATCAAGGAGGCCATAAAGCCGCCCTACAATTGTAGGGACGACTGACGATACGGGCCTTAGGACTAGTTGTCTGAAGTGCCTATCTTGATGCTCTGTGGTACGCCTCGGCATTCTTCGCGTTCCTCTACCTTCTTCTATGTACACAGGACACACACATTGCAGTACAATTAACACGGCGGCCAATTTCGCGATAGGACAAAGCAACATCTCGATAGGCAATTATTTTAACCCTGTCAAAGTCGCTAACGTCTTTGCACTCGAGGCATTTTGTTGTGCTTAACTCTAGTTAATGAAAGAGGAATAACTAAAAATATCTGTACTACTCAGCTCTCAGAAACTGTTTTCTTCACCAAAACTAAGAGACAACATTTTAACAAAGGTAAACAAAAACAAGTATAAAACGTTGACATTACTACCACAGCATGCTTTAATTATACTTATGTTGCCAAAAAACACGTTGAAAAAAATATTCTTTCTGACTGTAACACTTCTGTCACTGAGTATATTTACAATAAACCAACTGACACAAACACAACATAAACCTCCTTTAAAATAAATAGTTCAATGTTCTAACGAAATATACACGCTATGTAACCCACCTGACACAAATAAGTCTAAGAAGGAAAGAATAACCAATATACGTCTTCCAGTTAATGGATGCAAGCCGGTGGTTGTCTATAAGGTCGTAAAGCAGCAAATGTTTTAGTTAGCAAGCTGATTACCTTGAGCATCGCACACAACAAACGAATTAGGATCCGTCTGATAATTCCTCATTTCAACATTACTTTTCTTTGTTCCCTCATATCATCACTAAATCTGAATCGAATAATTATGACACGAAAAATGATTTGTATGCTCCATTTCGACATGATGTGTATATGATTTTATAAACCCTAGACATTCAAAAAAAATATCCTGGATATTTGAACAACAGATGCAACATGACTCCCTCAATTCAAATATTGTCTCACACTTATCAATTGCTCCCTGTATATCAGATTTCTTGTAACGGTTGGGTTTCAGTTCTAACGTATGCATACTAACTTTACACAGTGGGACTTCTTGACGCGTCTTTTGGTTGATACAAAACGGTATTTGAATAGTTTTACCAACTTCAGCAAACGAAACAATACCCCTACCAAAATCTATATCAGCTCGATGCAGGGCTAATCAGTCACATCCAATCAATAAGTCTCCTACTACACCGAAGATGGTAGTGTTGGTCAAAGATAATATTGGAACATTTGTGTTTCAAGACATCACATTAAAACAACAGATATGTCTGTTATCTCGCTTCTGCTATCCATCAACATTTAGTAATTTTGTCCCCCAATTACCACTTCAGCTGATGGCGTTTTTACACCTAGCGGCTCGCTGATGCCGATTCCCATTCGCTTAGATACAAGTATTCGGTCCTTTCATTTAATTTTATGATATGCCGCATTTATGCATTATTCTGATTCGGATTAGCTCTGCGATTTACCTGATATCATGCTTCGCGTTCCTGATTATCCTGCTGATATTGAATTGACCCTGAACGATTATCTAGTGGTATTAACTCCCAAATCGTCCAACTAGCGTAGAATACGTTTGACATCATCAAAATCTGTTGATTCTAAGATTACGATGTTACGCTGAACTTCGTCGACGTGACAACTTGATGAGCTTTGGCCCCGGGACGAGCTCGATAGCCGCTTACCAACTCCAGGAAGTATTCAGTATATTCACCGCCTTCGAACTTTCCGTACAAGATCTTTAAAATCAAGTCACCGTGCTTAAAGATGCTCCAGAATATATCGAAAAGTGCTTTCTCAAAATCCTCATACGAGGAGAAAGTGTTTTCTTTAATTGTAGCCCAGTCCGCGACCATACCCCTCGAGCAACTCACTGCTAACGTAACTTTTGACCGGTGTGGTAACATTAGGGGAAAAAGTTAAACTCCCTCACCCAATTCTTTCCAGTTACTTTTACAGGGTGTAAACGTTATGGTAGTCATTATTGAAATGGATAATGGGGGGAGTCAAAAGTTCATATGACCCATGGCTCAAAAGTCAATAGATTTTGGTCGAAACGGCTTTATAATTTACAACTTTAAGTGCTTTATATCCACCACAATCACCACAATCTTCATATTTTTTATAATCTAATCTAAAACGTTTTTAAATTTGGTAATTAATAAATAAATGGCGTTAAGTTTTTCTAAGTTAAACCAAAATTTGTAGTCAGTAAGTAAGTAAGTTTCAATAAATGAAATATTTACAACACGCATGACAACAGCGCGTCGGTCTTTCATCACTGTTATCGAACCGGCAATCGATCGCAAACGGTAACAGTGGTTAGTTATCGTTTTGCATAGATAAATTACTTTATCGTTTTGTCGTGCAGAGCATCGGGCGTGTTGTTTTGTTTTTGTTCGCGTACGTCGTCGTGTTTATTTACAATGTTCTCAAATCAAGAGTTCGCCGACATGTTGTTAGTTTACGGTGAAGCTCGTCAGAATGCAAATCTTGCAGCTCAAATTTATCGTGACAGATTTCGCCAACGGGTACACCCAGACAGAAAGACATTTGTGCAAGTGTACCAAAGACTTCGAGATACAGGAAGTGTTCAGTCCATTAATATTCGCACTCGTGAAAGACAGGTTACTGAAGAGCAGGAGGAACAAATTTTAAATATCGTAGAAATCAATGCAGATATCAACACTCGGGAATTAGGCCGCCACGTAGGACTATCGCATACCATAGTCCATAGAATCCTACGGGAAAATTTGCTTTATCCCTACCATGTACAACGAGTGCAGGCCTTGTTACCAGAAGACTATCCTCGTAGATTAATATTCTGTCAGTGGTTTTTGCACAAAAACATGGAAAATCTGGATTTTTTAAAAACGTGCTAGCGACGGACGAATGTACTTTTACGCGAGACGGGATATATTTCTTCCATAATACTCACACATGGGCCTAAGAAGATCCTCATACCATTCGTGAAGGTCATTTCCAACAACGTTTTAAAATAAATATTTGGGCGGGTATTCTTGACGATCAGGTAATTGGCCCTTTCGGGTTATCCCCAAAGTTGTCAGGAGAAGGATATCTTAGCTTTCTAGCTAATAACCTACCAGAACT